AGCTACTTTTCGTATACGTTTGTTGATACTTCAAACCAATTCATCGTAATATCTTCAAACTAGTCTGATAGATAGGTAATGTACTTGATAAAGATGTTTAGCTGTTCTGTAGTACTTTACCCTCGATTAGGAAAACTGAAAGTTCGCTTTTTCAATCACTTGAATTTGGTCTGTGCAAGTATTTGATAGATTTTCGTATAAGAAGAGCAAATTTGGATGGAAAAGGCGAGAGAGATAAAAGAGGGACTAACAAAGTCTCAAATACATGCTTTGTAAAATGTACTAAATTTCGCAAAAACCTGCATGAAGGGAAACAAACAATTAGGAAGAAGTGAAACAAAAGCAAATATAACTCAAGAGGTCGGAAGAGGGTGAAAGATGAAAAGAATAAACAAAACAAACACAAATACAAAAAGAAATATATAATTGGTAAGATTTAAAGATTGCAAGAAAATTAGAAGTTATGGAAGGCAAGAAAGTAGAATGAAATGGGGTTACGGTATCCACATTGGTATTATAGACAAACAGGAGAATATGAGACTGTGTACATCAGATAGAATAGAGAGAAGAGAAGAGAAGAATATAGACAAGGGAGAGAGGGGGACTAAAGAATGTGGAGAAAGTGAGAGAGAGAGAGGGGGGGAGAGAGAGAGAGAGAGAGAGGGGGGGTGGAGAGAGAGAGAGAGCGCGCGCGCGAAGGAAGGGGGGGGGGGGTTCTTTAACATACACAAAAGGTGATGAGGTTCCGTATTTGAGAATTAGACGCTGTTCCAGAAGGTATATGGGGGGGGGGGGGGGGGGGACTAGGGCTTCATCTGCGAGGGATCGGAGCGAATGGTAGGGAAGGGTGTGGGAGGGGCTGAGGTGGCGATGTCTTGTTATGACCGGTGGTGGATGCGACTTTCGAGCAAGTGTAGCGACCGAGAAGAAAAGATGGTTGATTCCACCTCCCGAAGAAAATGTTTTGGCTGAGAAACAAAGCTCGCATATTTAGGTATCCCTCTTTTCTCCCAGTGGAGTCAGGCATCTTTTTAAAAAAATTGCCTTTTTAATAGGGTTCATTAACATATCGGGGCAATGTGTGGACGTCTCCATTTTCCTGCCCCTTGACTCATCGACCATATACACCTGTAGAGACCCAGTTCCAAGCGTGCATTCTATAGTTCTCGTAAACAAACAAATAAGTCTGAGAGAGAAATTTTTCTACTTTGGAAGAGTGAAAATTTTACACCGATGGGAACTTCGGTTCAGAGTCTACAAAAATCGATATATCCTTATAACTTGTTATACTTACGACCTTTTTTGGGGGGGGGGGGGCGGGCGGGCAACGCTGTGACTTATTTTGATGTTGGGGGGGGGGGGGTCCCTGTATCAATGCTCCTGGGATGGGAGGTGCTTGGTGCACTGTCGGGAGATTTTTCAATTTTAGCACGGCGCGATTTCATGTTCATACACGGTACAGTTTTTGTGCGAGATTGCCCCCCCCCCCCCCCCCTTTACACAGACAATGCAGAATCCGGAATATACAAACTACATGTAAATATAAATAAGTTCTAATCAATTTTTTGAAATAGAATCCACAACTTTGTTTTGTAATCAATTTGCAATTAATCACACAAATACAAGTTGGAAGATTATACATTATTGGGCAAAGGTACAAATAGCCTATTCAAATTTGAAAGAACATAGAATTAAACCGATTTTAAAACAAAGATGATTTTGTCATTTAAATTGTATGATTTTCTCTTCAAATTTAACACTCAGTTTTTCATTATCTCACAAAAAAATTATTTGTGGAGCGCCCTCTGCAACAAAACTCAATTCCCCCTTTATAAATTGTGTGCTATACATTAATGACAGAAACACTATTTCTCTATTTTCAAAATCAAACAAATCTATCAGGAAGGGGTGGGGGCTTGAACATCTTTATTCGGGGATGCAAGGGGGAGCTTGGCCTTGAAGTCTTCCCTCGGAACCACGTGCTTGATGCGAATGTAACATTTGTAGCGGGAGAGTTGTGGACTTCGTTTTGCATTTGAGCGCGCATTTACGAGATCATAACCATTGTAATGAAAATGCAAACATTATACTTAATATATTAGTTACACAGTTTGTGTAAACAATTGTACAATGAGGTTGGTGGAAACATAACAGTGGTTGATGTTGTTTGTAGAGTCTTCTCCACTTTGCATAGAATGACCCTTGTGGCTTTCAGAAGTATCGAGAAATGTTCGAGAAATGATATCGAATCAATACCTGGCGATTTGTGAAGGAAAATTGGAGATCATTAACGATACGTAGATATTCTTAAAATAATTCTTTAAAGGTATTACAAAGTTTTGGTAAATTTTGAAAATTGGCTGGATAGTGATTCTTTACAATTTTGATATTTTTGGATGCCCCTATGGATGTATTATAAGCTCTAAAAAAATTAGCCCCTAAAACACTTCTGCTTTCGAGAAAAATTGAAAATAAAAATTTACCGGTGCTCCCGGTAAATTTTGATAAATTTCAAATAGCGCCTACGGCATACGATGGTAGCTTGACCTTGAGAGGGCGCTATACAACATAAAGAGTTTATTATTTACAATTTCATCACTTTAGACTCGATTTCGACGGCGACAACGATCAGTGAATATTGTAGGATCACATATGCTTCCAATATGTTCATTTGAACCAAATTCATGACCCCATACCAAAACTTTGTATTACCTTTAACAAAGCATATTTTGTTGCTATTTTCAGTTTCCAATTCCTTTTTTTAATATATTTTTTTTTATAGAATACAATGGTTTAATATCATTGTTTGCATAATATAGATATGAAAGCAAAGTTCTTATCAAGCCCGTTTGAGATTTGGTTCTCATTGCATTGACGCCCTCTTCATTGCCTTCTCATTTTCTCATTTATTTTCGTCGAGTTCTTATTAGACATGCATTTCTACCCGTCAACCCTGCCAACGCCTTTCACCGACGAGTGATGTGGTGGCGCTCTTCATGAAATGCACGCCAGGCATTATCAAGTAACGACTCTTTCAATCAATAATTCTTCATTGAAAATAGTACTGCTACATATTTAAAAAAATGGTTTGGTTTGATTTGGTATGGTTGATTTGTTTAACCTTTCTGCTTTCTCTTCTGTCTTACTACATACATACAATGTAAACACATATTAATACCCCTTAGTCTTTTTTCCTTCTCGCTCTCTCTCTCTCTCTCTCTCTTTCCTATCTGTAATATAATATGCATATATAAATATGTATTTTTTCCATCTGTTATGAAACTTCTTTCTATCTTTCTGTCTCTCTAGCTGTACACATCTTACCAACTCTTCCCCTCTCTTTTCCTTCTTTCGGTCTCACTCTCATATCTAACTGATCAAATCTTCATCACACATCTTTTCTCAGTTACGCTATGATGTGCACGTATTCGACGCCAAGAAATTTACTTAATCATTTTGTTTGGATATATTCATTTTTTTATTTTTCTGAATTAACAAAAGATAAATTTCGAAGACATTTCATATGATTATGATTATTTTACATTTTCATGCTCAGTAAAAAACTTTTAAAATATACAATAACAAATGCTTTTTGTGTAAAATTCAAGAACAAACACAAGCATAACATGTTAACCCAGTAGTACTGATTTTGTTGCATAGAATATTGTACTAATACAACAAATATATTGTACTTCAAAACAAATTAATTATTTCAGTATGTTACAGGTAAGATGCAATACCACCAAAGATAGCTTAATATAAGATTCGAGTCCACTTACAGACAAGATTTTTCTCTTTATCTTTAAACAAAGTACTTTCTAACTGGAAATTAATAACACAGTCTGTGGGACCATTTTACACAAACGACTAACCGCGTGTTACGACAAATCGCATACTAATACCAATTGCAAATGACTGTGATCAATCGCATCTCTTTAGCTTAAACCAATCAGGATCAAGATATCACGTGACAGAAAATATGAATCCCTATTGGTTGTAACGCTTGACCGAGGATATTTATCTATAATCATTGTGCAACAGGGTCTTTCAACAGCGTATGATACGCCTTGTATGTTATGCTGTGGTATTAGGCCTGCAGTGGAATTTCGTACAAACATTCTAGAATTATAACATAAATATTTTTTCCTCCTTACCATTTGACTATTTCGATAACACACACAAGAATAATATATAATTTAGATAAACACAATCGCATACAAACAAGGTATTAATGAAAAAAGGGCCCTTGTTCTAAAGAAATGGTATTTATCATGCATAAGTGCATGGTCAACTTAAAAACAATATTTCAGTGTAAAAATCATAGGTATTAGACACAAACACACCTCCATAATATTTGAAAAACTGCTTCTTAAGTGATTATTTTGGTTTCTGGTAGGGAGGTGGTGGCATTTATCCATTTATTGAAGGCTTTCTGCTTTTTGATTAAATTCGGTTATGGATTTGAGGGATATTTCATTTTGCGTGTACATGGATCGAAATAAAAAATGTGTAACCAAATCATATTCACGTCCAGCAAAATAGTCTAATGATACAAACATTCTACATATCACATTGTTCTGAAACTGTTAAGTCATTTTTTCCTTGTATTTTCAAATTTAAGTGAATAACTTCAAAGACGAACAAACCTTTTACCGCCATATTACAGATGACGTTGTTGATTAATCAATTACACATGTTTAGACAATCGCGATGAATATTCAATGATTCTGAGAAGAATTGGAAGCATGTTCATGTCAATAATTCAAGGCATTAATCACTCAAGGCATTTTATTATACTACATGTATCTCAGTTATAATATGTTTACATTGGGAACACATTTCACAGTATAATTGTCCGGCTATATATTGATATGCAAATAACATTTTAATAGCGCTTTGTATAGATTTTTATTAGTTGTTTAAGACGAAATATAATTGTTGTCATGAACTGATTTCTTTCTCATAATATTTCTAGCTTTATCTAGCTCTCCTTGTCATGACTACACTTCTACTGACGTCACAGTTGAGTCTAAATTGACTGTGTGTTTGGGGATCACGGGGATTGGACTACGGCAGCTGGATAGGGAGATGTCATCTCCTTCATCATCAGAACATAATGAACCAGCTAATGAAGCATTGTCTATATCAGTCTGATGATTAACAGAGCAAGGTGTCTCCTGCGGGAGTTGAGTCGCGGTGAAATAGTCCGGTGGCGGTTGTTGACCGCAGCGCGATGGAGACCGTTCAGCCGCGGCGTTTTCGTACTGCAACCGCAGCTGCTCAGCATCAAGCTCTCGGAAGAAATCGATAGCGTCGGTTTCGGTGCACCGCGGTGGCTGCGCCTCGTAACGTTCTTCTCTACCTACCACCGGCATCTCAATCCGCGGTACTGGCAGCTGCGTGTACGGCGGGGGTGTGTCTTCTTCTTCAAGGCGCGAGTAAGGTGGTAAGTCGCCGTCGTTCCCCTGCTGTCCGTTGCTGATAGAGTTGACATTAGGTGCTGAACGTCCCTGGCTTCTTCCTCTCACTCTCCTCGTCCTCCTCCTTCTCCTCTCCCTCTCACTTGGTTGATTCCCCTCCCGTCCACGGGATAATGTGATCCATCGCCGATGTCTGGAAGCTCTTTTCCTTATGCTGAAGAGGTAACCGAGAAGGACCATGATGACAAGGACGAGGAAGACCAAGGAACCCGAGATCGTGGACAGTGTAAAAGTAGACTCGTCTTCAAAGGCAAAGAAATACAAAAAATATTAATATTTTATGCATACTTCATAGTTTGATTATAAATCAGGACTTTCTTGAAATAAGGAATATAAATGCAAGTGTTTGAAAGAGTGAAACATAAAGTGCTTCAAATAAGGCAACATAAATGCATCGTGGTGTTATAATTTAAATCACCGTTATGGGATGACATGGACAATTCTATTATCATGCCAAGTCACCTCCAGATTGTGTATGAAAAGCGACCAAGAAATTTAGGCTTAACATCTTACCCAAAGGCATTAGCGCACAGATTTCAAATCCAACCCAGAAACCTAATGAAAATTGCCATGACCACTGGGCCATACTTCATCAAAATATCTATACCAATGATTACTATTCCCGCATGGTGGAGATATATCAAATACTCAAGCGACCCATTACCCTGTTTTGCATATTGGAATAAAACCCATTTTGAAATACCATTTGCACATGAGCCGATAGAGGTAATATTACCAAATTGCACAACCCACTAAGGTGACTTTATATTCTTACCATTACTAATTATTATTTTAAAGCTAGAAACAAGATCACTATGTGAGTGCAGATAGCATGCATGCACATGATGAAGTGGGACCTCTTCATATTTAAAAGATCTGTGAATATTTGGGTGTCATATAAATTATTTTCTAACAAGGACCTGGTCTACTTTTGCCTATAACTAAAGCTTGATCCAGCCCCCCCCCCGACAGAATGATCTAGTGATGCCTTAGACTCACTCTGAGGAGTGGTAGCTGTCTCCTCCGTGCTGCAAGTTAGAAACCAGATATGCGAGGGACAGTCTCTTAGATTGTTACGATGACTGGGGCATTGTTCCAACTCCTCTTCATCGCCAATGCATCTGTAGTCCCGCTGGTAGAATTGTAGGTTTGTATCGTGATTATTTATCCTAACGGCACTCCCTGTCGAGTAACCAAGTTGTCTGCATGCCACCTGCAATGATTGAAAGGTCCATAATGAGTTTATTTTGACTACGTTTTACCATTTTGTACATAAAATCTTTGATTTATTTTGAGTTCATACGTGATGCCATGATATTCTCAATATTTGCTTATTATCTTCTTTTTCTTCGAATAAAAAGACTGAGAAATTGTCAAGCCTGTTTTTTTTTTTTTTTTTTTTTTTTTTTTTTGGGGGGGGGGGTTCATATTTGTATTCTGGAATCTATGAAAGATATGGCAGATTTACTTTAATATTCGGATGGAGGGCAGTAACCAGCCCCTCGATCCGCTGACCTCACCCCAACCCCTCCGCTGCCCCCCTCAATGTGGTCGTTCTCTTTGGTAAACCATCGTTGACATAAAGCACCTTTGGACTTCGATCTCGTGTTTTGAAGTTTAGTGAATGAAACCCTAATATCTTACATAATGAACACATCATGCACGAATTGTATACATATATATAAAGGGACTACCATGTTTCCAATAATTTAAGGTTAAGTTCACCGGTTTCATCAGAATGAATATCCCTTCAAAAGAATAATCATACCAAGATTGACAAATTCGGTAGGGTTTTCGGTTTAAGAAGCATTTTTGTCACGCAAGGTAGGAGTTCAAATTCGTTCAGTATCAATGACACTGCATTGGTAAACAATTTGTATGATTTCATGTTTGTTTTAACAGAAGATCCAAAACGCCTTTGAAAAAAAAAGTGTACTTGAATGTTATGTTTCGGTTCAATCTGAGGTTCATTACTGATTGCCTAAAGTCCAGTCATAACAGCATTTCTGGAACTCCACAACGATATCTTATTTTATGCAAGGTGCACTGTCAGTTGATTTTGGCAAATTTGGTATCATTTGTATTTTGAAATGAATAATCATATTCTAGTACTGGTGAATTATCTCCGCATTATTGGACGTATCCAGTTTTTAGGGCTACCCTGTATATGTATACACAAGGTGGCCCTATGTTGAGCCGAGATCGTCTTTCTACTCTGTTTACGAGCCTAACTCATAAACTGTATAAGGCTGTTTTCTATAATTAAAAAAGTATACAATTTATTTCACCTGATTTAAAAAATAGCTTACTGTCTGTAAATGTAATATGATAAACATACATTACTTTGTGACAGTATATTGTTGAAAAAATGAGTTTAAATTAATTATTTGTTATGGCAAGTTGTTGTTACCACACAGTGCCTCGTGGAAGACCACCAATATTGGTGACAATGTGCTACCTTGTATATATCAGAAGGAAAAAAGATAACATATAATATATAAACCTACAAACCTCTGATTCGGCCTCTGTCCATATGGTTGTGCACAAATCGAGCCACTTCTCATTATATAGTTGAATAATTCCTCTCATTGAACGTCCACTACTCGTGCTTCCATGCAGGCGAATAGGCGCTTCTGAATGAATACAATAATTATATATTTAATTAGAAAACAGAGCCATAATCCGCTCTGGCATTCAGTGATAGATCATTTAATATGTGTATGTTGCTTAAAATGATACAACTTCCAGTGGATATTGCTAGCCTGTCGTATTCATTTTGCGGTATCATATGAATGTACATGTATGACGTTGATTACCATATCACCTTGAGTTAGATCACCAAAGTTTGGTATTTACTGATATCCTGGCCTGAACTTTTAAATAACCATGATGAAACCTTTTCTTTTGAAAATTAATGACACATTATAAAAGCACGTACTAAATAGAATCAAGGGAAAACGGTAGTTCCGCTATTATAAATCGTTTAATTTTTCTCATTCTAAAATCTCTATTCTCTGGGGGGGGGGGGGGGGTACGTTGTTCAGCAAGTTGAAACAACTGGAGATCAGAATTTGGATTCATATTAAATTCTCTATGTGTTAGGCGACATGGATTTCAATTATTTTATGATCATGAGATGATATTATTGTGATGTGATGTAGGGTTTTTTCGTATACCCACTTGGGGAAAATAATTTCTGTGATGCACCTCTGCAAAACGAGAACGGAAGGAATTGTAATCTTCGATTATGAAATCATTATTTAATGTAAACGGTAAAGGCTTGCAGCGATTAATCTGGGGGGGGGGGGGGTGTTTCACAAAGTTCCTAAGTCGAGTTTAACTCTAAGTTGGACTTTAAAATTATGGAGAGCCTTATGTAGCCTTAAAATAAATATATTCAAATACGAAAAATCAAGTATTTTAGACTTTTTATAAATTCCACATCAAGAACATGAAATCTCCTTGATAATAGAAAATATGAATGATTTGGATCAACATCTTATGCCTTTTAAAATTACTTTTACAAAATATTTTCATAGATGCTAACGGCTTTCTATACTTGTTAACCCTAATAAGGCCGGGGGGGGGGCATTATGCCCCCCCCCCCCTCCACAATTTTTCCGATTGCTCGGGAACGCATATGGATGGCGCCCCGCCGCTCGCTGACTTTTTTTTTTTTTCGAGTCTTGCGCAACTTCTAAAAAAAAAAATTCGAAAATCGGACCTACGGTTACAAGGTCACGTGACCTTTTGTCTTCGCATGTCAGCCTGAAAATCGTTCATTTTCGTGATTTGTGTACAAAACGTATGGCAAAGTCATTTTTCCTAAAAACAGATCAAACATGGGTTATTGGGTCTTGTTTAAAGTTTAGGTGGTTGTTTTGGGAGTCAAAATAGTTGAATTGTAGTAAAAGATGAAATAAAACAACATAAACAATGAAATACATAAGTTAAAAAAACAATGAAATACATAAGAAATTATCAAAACAAGGGATAACATAAGAAATAAGCTGGCTTTCCCAATTTTTTTTTCGTATTATTATTCAGAATGGTCTAATGAATATATCTAGTGAAAAAGAATGCTTAAATATGAATAATATATGATTTATTGGTAAAAATGTGATTTTTATGACTTTATTTGCATAAATTACCATAAATATGCAAATGAGTGAATTTTTCAAAAAATTGAAATTATCATATTATTCTTTACACTTCACTTGACATGCGTGCAAATTTTCGAGGCGATCGGCCGCTTTGCGGCCGAGATCTTGAGGGGGGGCCATAATGGCCCCCCCCCCCCGGCCCTACTAAGACTTCAAATAGCCCGGCCTTATTAGGGTTAAGTCCAACTTAGAGATAAGTTCAACTTAGGATCTTTGTGAAACACCCCCAGGTCTGTATACTCACTGCATGTAACCGCTGCGTCGAACTCATGATTGTTTTCCGTGTTCTCTCGGACATAAGTACAATTGTCCAAGACGCTGGCTCCTTCAGGGCATTTCACACTTAAAAAGTAGACCGGCCCGCTCCCCTGACCGTAGTAACCTCCTCCTAGAGATGCGACATTATCATCAGGGAAACCAAGCTGATTGCAGACTGCTCGAGCTTCATTGTGGCCCCACGTGTCAAAATCCGTGATGGTACCAAATCGTCCATCTATAAACACCTCTACTCGCCCCTCAGTGGATAGCAGTGAGCCTGCCAGTCGAATTTTCCAATTTGATACACCCGAACCTAATCATTGAGACAGTGACATAATTCAAGTATGAACATTCTGTTGTTGCTGTTTACAATGATAATCTGAACAAATCTGTGATTATCACAGTTAAAGAAGATTAAGTGAAAACAAAACAAACAAAATGTACAATAGATAAACAAAAACAAATGACAGCAATAACAATGACAAAAATATTTGGGTATTTAATTACCTTCGTGCCTATTAAAGCAAAGAAGAAAAAAAAGAAGTAAATTTGGACGTCATGTTTTTTTTAATCGATTAAAATATTCTACTAATTGACTTGAGGAAGTCGTTTCAAAACATATTAATTGGGCGCTATTCCTACCACCATAAATATATACAAATTCATCTATTTGTTATTTCGTTTATTTTCTAAAAGTGCAGCATATTATTGTCTTTCTAATATTATTCTAATCACTACAATAACCACAACGCTTATTACATCTATTATTACCATCACCACCACCAGCACCACCACCACTATCACTATCACTACTACTACTACTACGACTACTACTAAAACTACTACTACTACTACTACTACTACTACTACTACTACTACTACTACTACTATTATTACTACTACTACTGCTACTATTACTACTACTACTACTACTACTACTACTACTACTGCTACTACTAATACTATTACTTCTATTACTACTACGTCTACTACTAGTACTACTTATTCTACTTCTACCACTGATGTTGCTACTACTACTACTACTACTCCTACTACTACTACTACTATTTATACTACTACTTCTACTACTACTAATACTACTACTATTACTACTACCACTACAGCTATACTGCAACTATACCAGTTCTACTACTACCACTACTACTACTACTACTACTACTACTACTACTACTACTACCACTACTAATTCTACCACTACTTGTACTACTAGTTCTACTTATTCTGCTTCTACTATTGATGTTGCTAATACTACTACTACTACCTCTAATAATAATAATAATAACAATAATATTAATACTACTACAAGTACTAGTACCATACTACTATAATACTAATGCGACTGCTGCTACTACTACTACTACTACTACTTCTACTACCATTACTGCAATTACGCGTTCTTTACTTGCTTTAATTTGTTTTGATATTTCTAATGGGCCATAAAAGGAGGAGGGGGGATTAAATTTTAAAGTATTTTCTAGACATTAGGTCCTGTAACGATTTCTTGACATAATTTTAGGGCCGCTGTCCCATTAAGTTTTAAAAAGTTAAGTCATAATAGGTGTATAGCGATGGAGTTTCTACATTCTGAAAACTATTCTCCTTTGTTTCATAGCTTATCTACACACTTATCAAACATAGAACAAATTTAAAAGTTAAGACCCATGCAAATCAAATCAATATTCTAAGTATGCATAAACATACACATTTCGATAAATAAAATATATGATACTGGGAATTCAAATCGCAAGTACATTTAGGTACATGGTAGTGATCATAATAAGCGAGATGATCATCATTATCTTTTATCACCACCGTCACTACCTTCATGTCATCAGCGCCGTCATCATCACCACCACCAACATCATCCTCATCATCATCATTGCAATCATCAACATCATCACCACCATCGCCACCAACACCATCACCACCACCGTCATTATTATTTACAATGCAGTACTATTGGACATGTACTGTATATGACTACTATCAATTATCAAGTATATTAATTTTGCATTATCAATTCTCACACCGACATTCGTATCACACAAATACATGGTATCAATGTAAATTCATCCTGTTACGATAGGTATTTCTAACACGTCGTGAGGGTTGCTGTTAATGGCTAAATACATGTATGTGTTTTAAAATTGACACTTCCTCATACACGATTTGTTCATAGTTACGTGATATTGGCCGGTCAATTCACAAACTTTAAGTATTTTTCATTTCAAAATGATGTGGAGCATTATTAACACATACCTGTTGCCATCATATTAAGTAGTAGAACCCAGGAAAACAGATGAAACCATGAGGCTCTTGTTATACATCCCAACGCCATGTTTGTTCCTTTGCGTACATAGTCCACCATTCTGCCCGCGTTATGGAAATAGGAACGATGGTGAATTTGCACATCTCTTTGTATTATTTGCCAAGTGCAATCATGCATCCCCCCCAAAAAAGCATTCATATTTCGATGTTATTGTTATTGCTCTATAAATGACGTAGCTTGTGTTTGCCCTATACATATGTACAAGGTGGTCCAACATATCGCACAGATCATCAAATTGTTATTGTCTAAGAACAAGGAAAACTCGCTGCCTTGTTTCATCCCTGGTTTTAACTTTCATCCATTTTACAATGTCAGTTGAATACTATCACAAAGACCTTCGATAAATCAACATACGGTAGTTCTAATAGCTCTGTTCAACAGCCATTGCAAATATGGGAAAAATTACAATGACGTATAACGTTGATTTTTGTTTGAAAATCTTTGAGATGAATCAACAGGTTTATTGTTCTCTTTAATGATTACACACTATATCTATATTATGCATAAAGCGCATAGGTACACCATCAATAATAATATGCGAATTTGAATGAGATTTCCTCGTTTTGTGCTTGTTCTTCTTGTTTGTCCCCTTCTTCTTAAACTCATATAAATTGAATCATCATCATCATCATCATCACTATAATGTATGATATATTATTCTTGTATCATTATTTTTTATTATTATTATTATTATTATTATTATTATTATTATTATTATCAACTTTATTATCAACTGTTATTAACATCAATACTGTTGTTGCCGTTCTCTTTATTGATGTTGCTGTTATCATTATCGTCATCCACATGACTATTATCCACTAAATAGTCCCACGTTAGTATAACTAACGTTCAAGTTGACATGTTACATGTTTATTGGATTATTCAGGATACAGATTTGTCTGTACACGCAGTTTGGATCATTTTGCTTAAACAGTCTGAACCGAAAGCTTTATAGAAGTGAATGGAATTATGACGATTGGTACACTCCCAGCTTGGTACCATAAATTATTTAACAAAACTCCGTGCATGGTCTAGTACACCGAGGTGTGTATTGGGGATCAAAGTCGAGATCTCTGGCATATGAAATACGTCTCCTAAAGTAAATTTTAGGTCTAGACTATTCTAACAACTGATGCGTGGGTGTTCAAAAGAGCTTACAGCTTGAAGGGAAAAAAATGGTTATGCCTCTTTTATATAATTCTAAAAAGTTTATTTTGAAAAAACACCAATCGTGTCTTTAAACTTGAAATGCAAAATCTTCAAAATATAATGCCTTTTGAGGATCCGATCTTCTGATGCGAAGTGTGTAAATTTACACTTTAAAATATGTGTAGTAATTTGGATACCATGATTTAAATGATTGGCATGAATACATCAAAGTATTACAGTCAGTCGAATGATGAAACCTAGATATCCTCTATGCTTTGTGGTTTTGTAGAGTTTTATACACCGACCTATTAATGGGTAAATTTAGTTCACTATCTATGGAATACCAAGTACCGATCTGCTCATATTACGTCAGTCACTCTGCCAAACCGACTTCAGACCGACTCCGGACTGACTCCGGGCCGACTCCAGGCCGACTCCAGTCTGACTCCAGGCCGACTTCAGGCCGACTCCAGACCGACTCCGGGCTGACTCCAGACCGTACCCTCACCGACTCCAGACCTACTCCAGACCGACTACAGATCGACTCCAGGCCGAATCCGGGCTGACTCCGGACCGTCCCCACACTGACTCCCGACCGAATCCGGGCTGACTCCGGACCGTCCCCACACTGACTCCCGACCGACTCCAGGCCGACTCCAGATCGACTACAGACCGACCTTCTCTTGCCCATGCGGTGTAATTTAATTTTTGTTCGGTCTGTAGTCGCTCTTGTGTCGGTCTGGTCGGTGGGACTGACAAATGAAGATTAAAATGAGCACATAATTGATGCAGGTTTAATATCCAGGTAATCTTTGGGAGAAGACAAGGATCTATCCTCCCTTTTTTAACAAACCATCACAATTTCACTGAGTAATTTTATTGAGAAATGTCTAATTACCAGGTACTAAGTACTCTGATTATCAGAGTAAAACAGAATTACACTGTGTAAATAGGATCTGAGTCTCTCAGCGCTTTACAATAATGCAGCGTAATTACCCTGGCTTTAGCAGTGCTGTGACGTTTATAGTGCCTCACAATTTCCTCATTTGTTCAACACACAAAATGACTAAAGCAAATTGTTGATTTAATATGAGGTAATTAAACGACATCTCACTCTTTTAATATGTGTACTAGTCAATGTAGGAAATCGCTGGCTCACTGAATATCATTAGTGTTAATTTAACATTCATGTTAGTTATTTTATTACTAAAAAGTCTAAGGAAGTAATTTCTTCTAAAGTTAATGTACAGATAAAATACACTAAATTTGTTGAAAAGTAGATTTGAAACTTTTTATGATATATGGATATAATGCTGGTATTCAATTTTACTCATAATTTGGATTACCTAACATATTATAAAATACTTTCATACAATCACTATGTCGGAAACTAAAAGCGAGAGAGATGTTATATATTGACGATGTCTTACAAAAATTCACAATTGAATTAAAGCTGCGCATGCGCTACGCAAAATAAACTTGATTTGGAATCTTATACCAAGAGTATCAATGTGTGCTAATTATCAGTCTCGAGTATTCATCTGTGTACCTTTTAATTAAGAGTACATAACAGTCAACATTTCAAAATTTATGACTCACGAGAGTCTTTGCATTTTATAGGACCTATAATAATAATATGCTATCAGTATTCCAACGTAGAGGGCACTTATTAGGAGAAACACAGAAAATGATGATATATTTAAACACGACAACCGTCAGAGTTGTCCATGGCTAATTTGAGATTCGCATAGATTTAGTTATCTCATAATCTAAACATTCATAACTCTCTAATTATTTGTCGGGGGGGGGGGGGGTAGTGAGCTTTTTTTTTTATCCTCAAAAAAATTTCAATTTGCACCCCCCCCCCCCCTTGAGCGCCAGGGGGGGGGGGGGCCCAACCCCCAAAAAAGGTAAAAATCACGTGATTTTACATGATTTTTTTCTCAAGGGGGGGGGGGGGCCGGGCCCCCCGGCCCCCCCCCCCCCTGGATCCGCCACTGTGCATGGCCCTACGTGTTATCAGCGTCTTTGATTTGGTGTATTTAATATTGAAGCCCTGAAAAAATTGCGCTTCAAAATGATCAAAAAAGTAAACAACCTTTGACTGACCGGTTTTACCATACTCATTTTCCCAATAGACTGTTAGTAGTGTTATACAAAACTTTGGAAAAAAAGGCTTTTGAAATTTCGAACTCCAATCATAAATATCTTGATAATCAGACGGGCGATCGGCTTGTAAACATCATGGGATTCCTGACTGACCTGTATGATTATAATTATGATTGCAGAATGAGCTAAATCCAGGATTTTGTTTAGAATCTGAGACAAAAATACCCACTCCCTTTAACGGGGACTCAGCAGGGGGTAAAATCGACCGTTATGAATAGTTTGACAGTCATTCGTGGATACATTATGGGACCAATGATGGGAAAACCCGGGGGCGGGTTGTGAGACTTGTAGAATATGAATTCACCAGCAATGGAGCGCAAGATTTGATTAATGAAATGTAAGCACGACCGTGAAGTGTTTTTATTAAAATCAGTGGCTCCAATGATATTCAAGCTTACATGAACAGATAAAAGGGTTCTATACTATTGTATTCAAGACATGCCTGGATTTTTACAAAGTGTCCTTTCATTAAACGATTCACACATAAGCCCCCAAAATACCCAGGTACAAAATAGACATACACCGGAGTTCGATTTGTCCTATTTATTTCAAGATTGAAACGCATTCCCATCACCATAAAAATTCATCAAAGTTAATCCCCAACCTTTTATGATGAAAGTACACTTTATTCATTAAGCAAACCGAACCATTAATAATTCAATTAGATAATTCAAGCGTATACTTATAGGCTGCCATGCAGTCTCGATACCCAACTAACAGTCCACATCTAGACTGTTAGGATTCTTCATTAATTATACATCTATGCAATAATATTATGTAGGCTTCCATTCAGAACCAAGAAAAGGAAGAAGAAAAACCCCGCAGATGATACAAAAACTACTCTCATCAAGCTCTATGTACATGCACAATGGAAACTCTAAGTTACCAGAATGACAATTTGTGAGTGATTAAAGTACAGGATACGCCAAGCAGATATGCATTTATATCTTTTACTTGTAGTTGTAGTTCTTCATTAATGTTAAGTTCTAAAGAATCGAAAAACACGATTGGATTTGACATGCCTATTACTCATCGGTATCATGGGTTTTCGTCAATCACTTGTCATTTCATTTCTATCTTTGTTTCAAGTTTTGAAATCTAGATTGTCATTGGCTATCTTTGTTGAACTCATGACAAAAATGTATAAACATAGATTTATGTAAGGTGTCCACAGTCCATGTAAGCTTTAATGAGCTTGTTCAGTCTTATTTTGCGATTAACTAACAAACTGTGACAAAGATATTGAATCACATTTTTGGGGTCAAAGGACACACATTTCACAAAGAAAATGTACTATTCAAAATGAATAAATTAAATCTTGGCAAAAGTGAACTGTAGAGTAACTTCATTTAACATCTGCTTAGGTAGAGGGAATTACATGTTAAAGTCCATATATACTTATATTTACCACAGAATTGACAGCTTTGCAATCTGAAAGTATTATTTTCATGTACAGCATACTCAAGACTACAATCACAATCTAATAAAAGAAAAATGAATAGAAGCATCCCACTCTTCACCTTGAATATTAAATTTCAGTCTTTAAAATAGACGAAAGAAAAACAATAATGAAGATTCATCAGAAACAGGTAGAGATAACAATGCATACTAAATTAATTAATAAAACTACTGAACGATATTTAAAGTACATCGCAATGGTGGGAAAAATCTCGGGCGGGTTCTAAGACTTTTAGAATATGAATTCACCAGCAATGGAGCACAAGTTTTGATTAATGAA